TAGTGAATTGTTGTTGTTTCTGCTGGGTGGGGGGGGGGGGAGGGGGGGGTTCTTACTTTCTGAACCAGAGACACTGTGGAGCCTTTTTAAAAACAATTCTCAGAGTCATTCTCTGTAAATGTTTATTCTGTGTGAATAGAGGTGAAACACAAATGTTCTTAGTTTATTTTCTTTTCAAATCAAATGTAATGCAATACAACATGAAGCCCACTAGATGGAGCTGAGGAGCATAGGAAATGAATATTTATTTCATATGCTCTTCAGCTCCATCTTATGGCCATGATGTGGTATTACATTAAATGACATTTGACCTGAAAAGAAAATATACTAAGAATGTTGTTTTTGCCTCTGTTCACACAGAATGCTCAATCACAGTGATTTGCAGGGTGAATCTGTGAATTGTTTATAGTTACCTATATAATTTGCAATTGCCTTGTCTCACACTTTTTGAAGGATGAAGCTGAGTCCAGGGCCACTTTAAGTAGTACAGTGCCAAAATCAGTGCAGATATTTTAAATCATGATCTTTAAAACCCATTATTATTTTTTTTAATATGCATCATAGCCGCTTTAGAATAAAGAAATGTTCCTTCTTGTTATGAAGAAAAAAAGAAAAGACTCAGCTACCCGTCTGATAACGCTCATTGAATGACTTGGGGAAGTGGAGCCGCAGAGCAGATGTGATCTGGGCATGAAATGTCGTGTTCAATTTACTTTCAAGAATCTGAAGCTATAATCAGAAAAATATGGTTAATGTTTGATATGTCATTTACTTGGCATCAAGCACAGAAAATGTTCTCTTATTTTTACATCTGTCAGGATTTTCTTTTGCCACTGAAAGAGTTTTTACTTAACATGGTCTACACAAAAGCTTTTTTTTTTATTAAAGATTTTTTTAACAGCATAAATGATTAAAAAAAACAGTCAATGAGGCAAACACTACAAGTGTGCTAAAGTCATAAAGTTCACTCAATCCAAATTCTTTATAATCCACTACAGCCAGAATCCAGAGCACTCCTTACAACTGGGCTGGGTATAACTGCTTCCTGAAGGCTGTGCTGTGTAAACTTCTTCTCTGATTCTCTCTGCCGCCTGCCATATACTTCCTAATTAGGTGTTGTCCTAATAAATAAGTATGGCACTTATTAAGTTTTTGATATCATGCAGAGGATGATGGAGGGAGTGGGGCCCTGCTGCCCAGGGCTGGGCCAACACAGAGGCAGGAGCGTCTCCCGCTTAGGCGCCATGGTGTGTGGGGGAGATTCTCCTGGTCTGTCATCTTTAATGCTGTGCAGGACTGGGCTATCACAATGATGGGTCAGCCCTTCCATTTGCACTGCGTTACTCTTAAAAAAAACTCAATTTTGTTTATTAGCCTATATGTCACATTTCTCCATTTTTTTTGTGTGCTGATGTTTTTATTTTTGTTTTCAACATATACAGTGTATATGTAAACTTTTTTTTTAAATTGTTTTGTTTTGTAACGTCACATTAAAAAAATGTTCTGTACCAATAGCTTACTTTCTTAGTACCTTTATAAAAGGGACAGATTTGCACTGTCTGTTGAGCTATAAACTGCCTTAGTTCAAAGATGGAGAAATTAATTTTTGCTATATTGTTAATGAAACTCGGCTCTGTTACTTCATAATCATTATGATTCAATGACAGCAGCTTAATTACATCACATCTCCCCCATCCCATTCTGTTTTCCATGGGCCAAAATCAGTGATGTGCAGTGCCTTCAGTGCTGGATTCAGCATTCCCCAGCCCCGTCCCCAGCATGCCCCACCCCCAGCACGCCAAAGCTCCTTCTCCATTCTGCCAAAGCCCACCCCATACCATCGAAGCCCCAACTTAGTAACCAAGCTGTGTGTGGGGGAGGGAGGAGACAGGGAAGGGCCTCCCTGTCCCTCACTTCTTCGTCATTGCTGAGGCATCGAGATCGAAGTCCTCAGTGGCTTTTTTTTTTTTTTTTACTGGACAGCTTGGACCAATGGCGCTTTGACATTCACCCAAACCATTCACAGAGCTCGGGCCTCTAACACAGAGTAGAGGCTGTGATAGCTCTGGCTTCACTAGTTAGGTTACACACGCAGTGGGGAAGCCCGCTGCTGTGTAACCCAACTACCTGTTAAAAGTCAGATGCAGAGCCGCCTGTAATTAACAGGCAGCGCTCCGTCCATGACAGGTTACACAGCGGGGAGGCTTTCCTAGATTGTTCACTGCTCCTGCCTTCTCAAGACTCTTCACCCTTTTGTGAATAGCCCTGTTAATGTTTTTGTAAAGGCATGTTTTTCTATTTGTTGATAAAGTCAGTAAGGGATACATCCTCTGTCAGGTTTTTTTGCTGCTTGTTTGAATAAAATTCACCCCTCTGCTTGTTCTGGTGACTGGGACAGAAAGTGATGGGAAATCCAAAATGTTAGTGTTGCCACTAGAGAAAGAAGCAAGGGAAAATCCTCTAATGGGGACATCTGTTTACATGAAAACTCTTTAAGATGATAATTCTTTTCACCTTTGTAGAAATTTCCTCTTATTTCCTGTTGCATCTCTGGGCCTGGAAATGAAGTGAGATCTACCTAACAGGGACACAGGCAGCAGAAAATAACCAGATAGGGGGTTTTATCCCTTACCTACTCTATCTACTAGAGACTACTAACGTATATACAGTATACAGCTCCATTGAGGAGCATAGGACGGTTGATGGTTCCCAGCCTTTGATTTGACCTACAGCCAGGTCAGGATCACGTCAACAGTCTTGATATTATCATCTAGGCTTCACCACAAGGAGCCTCTGGGTCTGCCTCTCTTGAGCTGCCTTTGGGGGTCCCAAATGAGCCCCTTTCTACAGATTCCATTTGCAACCTTTATTTGAGACTACAAACTAAAAATACGTTTTTGCTGTGTATCCAGTGACTGTAGTATACAGGTAAATATACTACATATCTGAAGTAGGGATGGATTACTTTAGGTGTGCTTAGTCTTTAATTAAGTTAAAGTTGAACTGAAGCCCACACTTTTTCTTAGTTTTGAATACAGTAAGGGAATGATATAACTCCTATCGGCTTTTTGCCATCTGTATCCCATTGGGAAGACATCCATTCACTTCCTGTTTGGAAACCACAACAGGAAGTGAGAGGAAGTGCCTTCAAAGTGAAGGAAGTTCCTGGTGTTCAGCAGTGTCACCAGAACTTGTGTCTCCTATTGGAAGATTTCCCATTTTCCTATTCTGGTGAAAATCTAAAAATTTGAATTTGCTTGCACTTTCAGTGACAACAATCACCAGGACACACAGAGCGGGTGAATCTCCCTAACGGGGACAGACAACAATAAAAACCTGGTGTGAATATTTTGAAGTGGAAAGAGAGCGTTGGACCTGTGTGATTACTCTATTTTATCATCAATTAGTGATCAAGTGATGTTTAATATGTGTAATCTGTCTAAAGGATAGGCAGGTACCACTGGCCCAAAGGTCTCCACAGCATCCTTGGCTTGACATTGATGTAGGTTAGAAGATGCTAAATGCATTGGCTATTCTACTTGATTGTCCCCTGACCCTATGAAGCTGTGTCTGGAGTAATTTAATTGGTTTGGCGCTTCAATTCCCACGTCTAGCGAAAAAACCTGACGGGTTCCCTCTCAACTCAAACAAAAAACCCTTTGGCTTTAGATGCACTTTAACCAAAAAGTGGCCCTTCAGAGCAATTTACTAGTTCACTGAGAAAACCGACCTATATGAAGCCCAACTTCGCCGTGTCACCTGCGCTTATGTTCGGATTTAACTGGCCTCATCCACGAGATATATGACTCATGTGAACTGGTTTGCTCATCTCTACTTACCCAGCGTTACAATATTTGTAGAAAATATGCAACTACCAATATACCTTTACAGCACTGTTTATTTTACACCACAAACATGAGAATGATATAATATATATTAATATAATATATAATATAATATAAAAGCTCCGTTTTCCCTCAGCTAACACAACACTGCCAGCCCAGGCACAGACCACGCGTCTAAATATTTAATATCTGTATCATTGAGAAATGTCTTCAGGCAGAGTTCCAGGTAAAATAGTAATATTGTGTCCGCAATGTAATTCAAGGAATGTTGGCAGCAAGTCACCATTGGGTAATTATCCAGTGTGTTTTACAGCAGGACAATGCGTGACATGTCGTAGAAGTGTTCATTAATATGGAGCCTGCCTGCATCATTATACTGGGGTGTTGTACATTTTCTAAGCAAATACTACATGCTGCTTAGTTTGGGTGCATTTTCGGGTGCAAGAGGCCTTTTGCCCATGTGCTGTAATGAGCATTTATTATGTGTACTATGGCATGTGTTCTCAAATGTTTTTAAAATCCAGAAAATGTCAGCCACTTTAGGCCCCATTCACACTGAGCGATTTATCGAGCGATTTTTGCAGCGATATCGCTCATATTTCCACGCGATATCGCTCTATGTAGCTTCTCCAATCCATTTCAATGGAGCTGTTCACATCTCGTCGCTCAATATCGATCAATATCGCTTGTAGCTCGTCGCTGGTAGCTTGTCGCTCCTACAGGACCCTTTTTTCGAGCAATTTCGAGCGATATTGCTCCTGATTGCATAAAGCCCAATAGGAAAAAGTTGCGCGATACGTCGCTCAATATCGCTCGTCGTGCAATATCGCTCAAAATCGCGCGATTTTCATGACGCTCAGTGTGAATGGGGCCTAAATCAGTTTATAACCTGCAGAGCAAAGGTGCATGGCAGTGAGTCAAGCCCTATAAATGAAGATGTGAACTTTCCCTAGCACTGAATACACCCAGCATTTTTAAAGTGACACTAAACTCAGGAGTTAAATCTTAAAAATGCATTCAAATACCTTAACTATTAATAAAAAAAATATTTTATTTGTGTCTCACTCGGCTGTAGATCTTCAAATCATCTCTGATTGGTGCTGCCACGGTCCTTCCTTCTGGAGGGTGGCTAATTTTGTTCCCAATGGTTCCCATATGTTATAAAGTAGTCACCACTCCAAGCTCGCTCCCGTGATGGACTACAATCTCAATAGAAATTGGTAAACTAAACATGAGATTTTAGTCCATTGAGTTGTGACTACTTTACAGCACACACAGGGACCATGGGGAACAAAAGTAGCCACCCTCCAGAAGGAAGGACAGTGTCAACACCAATTCAAAGATGATTTTAAGATTCTATCCTGTAATTACAAAAAAGAAACCATTCTGGTGAAGTCACCACTCTGACAATACTGTGCAAACTGCTGCCGTTCCCTTTCCCAATGTGAGTGCAGGGAATTACAAGAAGCTGACTATATATATATACTGTGTGTGTGTGTAATATATATATATATATATATATA